CCTGGAGAAGAGCATTCCAGTCGGTGGTGGCGAGCTCAGAGCAAAGGGCTGGCCAATTACCTCTTTCTCCATCAGCCAGGTTTGCGTGGGGACTCCACCCTCGTTCTGTTGGGATCTTTAAGTGTGGTAAAAACAGCCTGTGGTCAGTGACGATCCAACGTAGCCGAGGGGTTGACAAGTGACTATGCCTTCTGCCAGATCAACACACAACTGGGTCAGGGAGGAGCCAAGATAAAGAGTAGGAATCAACAAAGTTTCCTCATGTCAAACACTGCAAGAAGGTCATCAAAGTCCCTCTGTTATAAGGTGCTGGTTGAGGTCACCAACATTTATACTATGTTGACATTGTGTTGTCAGCAGAAGGGAGTCCAAATTTTCCATGAGGAAGTGATAGGGTCGCGTGTTGCCACTGAGTCTGTACATTGCAAACATGCTAAGTCAGAGGTACTAAGTGTTTATACAAGCTTGCGAACAGCATTTCAAGATGTGAGGGGTGGCAACATCTAATGTGCTGGGCATGAACACTTTTAAGAGAAGCACACAGCAACCCACCTCCTTTGCCTTGCCTGTCTCTTCACATCCATAGGTGTAGCCAGCAATTCTTTTCTTGCAAAATTTCTGGAGTCCGTCATCCAAAAATGTGTCAACAACAGCTATCATGTCCGGACGTCGAGTGTTCACAAAAGCTATGTGTGGAGCTCTCCAACATTAGTAATGAAGCCTCTAATGTTGGTCGACAGAGGCTGATAGACTGCGCCTCTCTCTCTCTCTCTCTCTCTCATCCCTCATCTCTCAATCTCTCACCTCTCATCTCTCCTCTCTCTCCTCTCTCTCTCCTCTCTCCTCTCCTGTTCTCTCTCTCCTCTCCTCCCGTCTCTCCCTCCTCTCTCTCTCTCACTCTCCTCATTCTCCTCTCCTCTCCTCCTCTCCTCCTCTCCTCCTCCTCCTCTCTCTTTTCATCTCGCTCTCCTCTCTCTCTCTCTCTCTCTCTCTCTCTCTCTCTCTCCTCTCTTCTCTCCTCTCTCTTCCTCTATGGCTCTCTCTCTCTCTCTCTCTCTCTCTCTCTCTCCTCTCTCTCTCTCTCTCTCTCTCGCTCCTCTCTCTCCCTCGCTCATCTCTCTCTCTCTCGCTCTCTTCTCTCTCCATCCCTCTCTCACTCTCTCTCTCTCTCTCTCTCTCCTCTCCCTCTCCTCAGTGTCTCCTCATCTCTCTCTCTCTTCTCTCTCTCTCTTCTCTCCTCTCTCTCCTCTCTCTCTCTCTCGCTCTTCTCTCTCTCATCTCTCTCTCTCTCTCTCTCTCCTCTCTCTCTCTCTCCGCTCATCTCTCCTCGCTCTCGCTCTCTCCTCTCTCTCACTCCCCTCTCTCTCTCTCTCTCTCTCTCTCTCTTCTCCTCTCTCTCCTCTCTCTCTCGGCTCTCCTCCTCTCTCTCTCTCTCTCTCTCTCTCTCTTCTCTCTCTCCTTCTCTCTCTCTTTCCCTCCCTCTCTCCTCTCTCTATCTATCTATCTATCTATCTATATATGTAGGAAAGAGGAAATTTTTTTTCCCAGTAACAAGTAGGCTTAGACAAGGATTTTTGATTGTCCACCGTGGTTGTTTTAATATATTTATAGATGGGGTTGTAAGAGAAAGTACATGCGAGGGTCTTGGCAAGAGCGTGGAGTTAAATGATAAAGAATCACACACAAAGGGAGTTGTCACAGCTCTCTTTGCTGATGACACTGTGCTCGTTGGGAGATTCTGAAGAGAAGTTGCAGAGAGTGGTGGAGTGATTTTGGTAGGGTGTGCAAAAGAAGTAAATTAAAGGTGAATTACAGGAAAGGTAAGGTTATGAGGATAACAAAAAGATTAGGTGATGAAAGATGGAATATCAGATTGGAGGAGAGAGTATGGGAGGATGTGGAACGTATTCAGATATTTGGAGTGGACGTGTCAGCGGATGGTCTATGAAAGATGAGGTGAAATCATAGAATGATGAGGGAAAAAGATGAGTGTGCACTTAGGAAGTCTGTGGAGACAAAGAACTTTGTCCTTGGAGGCCAAGAGGGAATGTATGAGAGTATAGTTTTTACCAACGCTCTTATATGGTTGGAAGCGTGGGTGATGAATGTTGCTGCGAGGAGAAGCTGGAGCAGTGGAGATGTCAGTCTGAGGGCAATGTGTGGTGTGAAATTAATGCAGAGAATTTCGTAGTTTGGAATTAGGAGGAGGTGCGGGATTACCAAACCTGTGACCAGAGGGCTGAGGAAGGGTTTGTTGAGGTGGTCGGACATGTCGAGAGAACGGAGCGAAACAGAATGAACTTCAAGAGTGTATCAGTCAGTAGTGGCCGGAAGGCGGGGTAGGGGTCGTCCTAGGAAGGGTTTTGGAGGAGGGGTAAAGGAGGGTTTTGTGTGCGAGGGGCTGGACTTCAGCAGGATGCTGAGCGTGTTTTGCTAGGAGTGAATGGAGACAAATGGTTTTTAATACTTGACGCAGCTGTTGGAGTGTGAGCAAAGTAACATTTATAAGGGATCAGGTAACCGGCAGGCCGACTTGAGTCCTGAGATGGGAAGTACAGTGCCTTGCACTCTGAAGGAGGGGTGGTTAATGTTTGCAAGTTTAAAAACTGTAGTGTAAGCACCCTTCTGCAAGACAGTGATTGGAGTGAAATGATGGTGAAAGTTTTTCTTTTCGGGCCCCCTGCCTTGGTGGAATCGGTCCGGTGTGATAATAAAAATTATATATTATTATATAATTATATATATATTAATATATAGATATATATATATATATATATATTATTATATATATATATATATATATATATATATAATATATATATATATATATATAGAGAAAGGAAAAGTTTTCTTTTTCAGCCCACCCTGCCTTGGTGGGCAAAACGGCCGATGTTAATATAATAATAATAATAATAAAATAATAATAATAATATAATATCTTACACCTCTGCAAGACAGTGATAGGTGAAATGATAGTGGAAAGTGTTTTGTTTTTTGGGTCAGCACTGCCTCATGTGGAACGCCTGCTGTTGAAAAAATATTCAGAAGAAATGAGACTTGAATTATTAACTCTGAAAATAATTAACACCCAGATAACCCAAGAAAGTACCGGTAGTAGTTGGATAGACACAAACCCCCCAGAGAGGTACTACTGTCCTGCCAAGTGAGTAAAGAAAGGGGCAACCTGTAAAGTAGGATTGCTGGTGTCTTTTTTGGCTCTCTAAACAGCAAGGATTTCATTTCAGGTACGTCTTGCTACTTCTGCTTGCACTTAGTCACAACTACACATACATAGACAAGCGTAATATATATACAACCCTTCCTGGGTTTTCTTCTATTTTCCTTACTGTTTCTTGTTTCTTGTGTATTTCGCTCCTCTTATCTTCCATGGGGAAGTGGAACAGAATTCTCCTCCGTAAGCCATGCGTGTTGTAAGAGGCGACTGAAATGCCGGAGCAAGGGGCTAGTACCCCCTTCTCCTGTATAAATTACTAAATATAAAAAAGATAAACTTTCATTTTCTTTTAGGCCACCCGGCCTTGGGGATAAAACGGCCGGTTTTGTTTAAAAAAAAAAACAAGAAAGTCCATACACGTGTCATATTCCATTGGGTAGTATTTTAGGTCCTTTTCCTAGCCGTGAACTTCAGCATTCTAATGGATGAACAGGAGCAGCAAGGTGTAAGGACACCTGTGCAAATGCTTTACCACTGAGCTAGAAGTTAAAGATTTGATGATAATGTTTGAAAGTTAAAGCAAATACATGGGTATTAATGCTGTAAATTTGAGAATCGTGTTTGCATGAAGTGGGATGGAGTATTATCCGATGAGATCATCCTTTCGAATCTCTAGTGTTCCTGAATGTATTTTGTATCTATAACCAAGAAAATGCTTTTGTCTGAAAAGTTGTTAAATGTTTCATTATACAATATATAGATGATAGTATTTTTTAAAAGGTACATCAAGTGACAATGATACATAAAAAGATGTATGATGCCTAATCTAAATGGGCTGTTTGGATATCTCGTCTTCCCCTCCTTAAAAAAAAAGGGACAACATCCTAATATAAATTATTGTTTTCAAAAAAAAAAAGTAGTAGTCATCTAGTCAAGAATAAGGACAAATGTCTTAAATATACTTAGTCTTATAATGATTATTATTTAAGAATCTTATAAAAAGGGTCTTGTTTAGAAAGAATATAAACATGTATTAATATCTGTAACAAAGTGGATGAACTGCTGAATTAAACCTATTCTCTTAGTTTTTCCCAATCTTTTTATTCACACTGAAGGAAGTGGGGATGCCTGCACCTCACGATCATCTCATTCTTATATAAGCACAACTTCTGGAAACACTCTCATTGAGTGAATGTGGTGAATGTGTTTCTTCTATGGTTTACCCTGCCTTGGGCAGGAGACAGTCTTTGATTAAAAGATGTATATTTAGTGTAGCTGGTATGCTTACCCCATAAATACTATAACCCATCCCCCTCTCTCTCTCTCTCTCTCTCCTCTCTCCTCCTCTCTCTCTCCCTCCTCTCTCTCTCCATCCCTCTCTTCCTCGCTCTCTCTCCTCTCTCTCTCTCTCTCCCTCTCCTCCTCTCTCTCCCTCTCTTCTCCCTCTCTCTCGCCTCTCTCTCCCTCTCTCCTCCCTCTCTCGCCCTCTCCTCCCCTCTCCTCCCGCGCTCTCCCTCTCTCTCCTCCCTCTCTCCTCTCCTCCCTCTCTCTCTCTCCCCTATCTCTCTCTCTCTCTCTCTCCCTCTCTCTCTCTCTCTCCTCTCTCCCTCTCTCCTCCTCTCTCTTCTCTCTCTCTCTTCTCTCTTCTCTCTCCGCTCCTATATCTCCTCCTTCCCTCTCTCTCTCTCCTCTCTCTCCCTCTCTCTCTCCCCTAAAGATGCTACAAGTTATATCCTGTACATTGCAGTATTCGTTTACTTTGACACATTTTATGTGAGAGACAGGCCTCGGTGGATAGGTGCTTATGTTTGTGCATTTTTTCCAGCCTACTTACAATGGCAGCATTCCTCATGTGATGGGAGGACCCACTCCTCTTGCTCCACTCATGAATGGAAAGGTCTTGTGTTCCTCAATATGTGATGGTTCTGAACCCCGACTATTATCGCACTTTAATCAGATGCAAGTACTATGTATAGCAGGTGGGAAGAACCACATGCTAGCATTAACAGACAATGGGGTAAGTATTTCATGATTAAATATGCAGATTACAAGGAAGTAAATGCTTATGCAAATAGGGTAAAATAATGACTCATTGAAAGATTAAAATTGCCTTTTTATTTTCAACAGATCATATTTTTGAAATCATGAGAATCTTGTGCTATATGCTACACTGGCATATTTTAAAAGCCTTTAGATATATGAATGGGAATGCTAAAAAAAAAAAAAATGTACAAGGACTGAAAATAGGACCTGTGAAGGAAGGTGTAAAATGTTAGATGCACCCTCATAGGCTGATAGGAAGAAAATGGGACGTGAATATTTTATAATTATTTGGATTAAGTCACCAGAGAAGAAAATATACATACATATACATATGGAAGGAATGACATGATTTCTATCAACCTTTCATTTTGCTTCTGATTTGGTACTTATGATGTAAAGCAGGATTGCACTTCATAAAATAATGAATAAATTGTACACTTAAGTAATAAACTACAGAATAAACAAAAGCATTGTAATGAATTGTGAGATTGAAACAGGTTTTGATGTATTGGAAGTTGAAGAATTTAAATGTTTGGGATCAGTACTGTGCAGTTATGTTATGAAACAATAGAGGAAGGCATGTGGGAAATATCAGTGCAAGGAAGAATAAAATCAAGTCCCTGATGCAACTGATTCAGTATCTAGTTAACATTATTTTAATGGTCTGTGGTGGTTTGGTTGCAGATTTATGGCTGGGGTAGCAATAAATATGGTCAAGTTGGCACTGGAGGTACAGGTCGGCATCCACGCCCTACTTTGCTGACCAGCTTGGAAGGCAAGGGTATCATATCTGTAGCCTGTGGGCAGTTTCATTCACTAGCTGTGAGTGAAGATGGAAAGTAAGTTCATCACATTTTGATTTCACTTATAAATCTCTGTTCTTGATCCAAGGAATTGGGGTTATTCTCCCATTCCTTGGATCAAGTCTGATTTCCTCCTAATCCCCAGGCACTTTTTTGACCTTGTAAATACAGTAATAGTTCACTGATAAACATGTCAGAGTGTACTTTTTGTGAATATCTTTGTTGCAAAATAAACATCATCTGAGTATACTTTTTGTGAATATCTTTGTTGCAAAATAAACATTGTCTGAGTATACTTTTTGTGAATATCTTTGTTGCAAAATTTGTACTACGGTAAATGCAGTTTTCAACAAATTTGTTTTTAATTGCAAAATAGTATTAGAACATACATTTTCAAACTTTTTTTTTAGGCTGTACACCTGGGGATGGGGCGTCCATGGTCAGCTTGGAAATAACAATGTGGAGGATTGCCTAGTTCCAACTATTGTTGAAAGGCTTGCCAAGAAGGTAAAGTCAGGGGAAAAATATATGCATGAAAAATGTTTGCACTAATGTGATGTATTCATTGAAAAGTATATACATTGTAAGTGATGCATTTATTGAAAATGTATACAGCCTCTCCTCACTTAACCCTTTGACTGTCGCAAGCCCATTTCTGATACTGTCATTCTTTGTCATAAAATTTTTGGAAAAAAATTATCTTTTCTTGTGAAGTGATAGAGAATGTTTTCCCGATGCTAATGACACCAAAAGTACGAAATTTGATCGAAAACTTATGGAATTACGCCCCTGCGAAGTTAGCGATCTTGGTGGTATATACGTATCGGCGGTTTTGCTGGATTTGAGCCCTATTTTCAGTTAACTCCATTGTTCTAGTCAATGAAACTCATAGCTATTTCTTTAGAACTCCATTTTTTCTATCATATGAGTACAAGAAACTGCCCATTTACTGATTTCAACTACCCAATAAAGTGGTCAGAAATTGGCAGTTTGGCCAATTTCACACAAATTAAAAAAGATGCCAATTTTAAAATAGGGTTCAGAATAACCAAAGCAGATGTTCTTGGCACTAAAATAACATATCCTCTGTTCATTAGTCATGTCTCCAGGCCCCTCTTATATTACTCTTGCTTTCTATTTTGATTGTTTATTCACACAAAACATACAAGATTTACTGTTATGCAGACTACTGCATTATTGTAAAAATGGTATATATAATATCAGTGCACTATTGAAAGAATATTAGACTCCCCAGTTGACATGTATTGGACATGTGGTGTGATTTGCTTACTCTTGAACATTGGTAAATATCGAACATTTCCGCTACTTTGAGCTCAATTTCAAGGTCGTTTTCATCGTGAGACTAATCAAAACATCTCTGTTTCTGTAATATGTTTTCCATTCTATCAAATGAGATCAAGAAAACGAGAATACAACCATAAATACAGTGGGCCCCCCCATAACGATATTAATCCGTTCCTGAGAGCTCAATGTTATGTGAAATTATCGTTATGCGAATGAATTTTCCCCATAAATAATGGAAATCAAATTAATCCGTTCCTGACACCCAAAAGTAGGAAAAAAAATTTTTTTTACCGCATGAAATATTAATTTTAATACACACAAACTGAAGAAGACACGCACAGTTACATGACACTTACCTTTATTGAAGATCTGGTGATGATTGATGGGATGGGAGGAGGAGAGAGTCTTAGTGTTTAGAAGGGGAATCCCCTTCCATTAAGACTTGAGGTGTCAAGTCCTTTTCCAGGGTTACTTCCCTTCTTCTTTTAATGCCACTAGGACCAGCTTCAGAGTCACTGGACTTCTGTCGCACAACATATCTGTCCATAGAGGTCGGTACCTCTCGTTCCTTTATGACTTTCCTAAAGTGGTTCACAACATTGTCAGTGTAATAGTCACCAGCGAGGCTTGCAACAGCTGTATGAGGGTGATTTTCATCCATGAAGGTTTGCACTTTAAGCCACATTGCACAGATTTCCTTAAGTAGGCAACTTCTTCAATTTCTCTCTCCCTTCCTCCGAAGCAGTTTCCTCAGGTGTGGCCTCATGCTGATGAAGATGATCTAGCAGCTCATCAGTGGTTAGTTCTTCATTGTCCTCCTCCACCAACTCTTCCACATCATCCCCACTAACCTCCAACCCCAAGGACTTTCCCAATGCCACAATGGATTCCTCTACTGGCATAGGATTCCCAGGTTTAGCCTCAAACCCTTCAAAATCCCTTTGGTCTACACATTCTGGCCACAGTTTCTTCCAAGCAGGGTTCAAGGTCCTCTTAGTCACTCCCTCCCAAGCCTTACCTATAAGGTTTACACAATTGAGGATATTAAAATGCTCTCTCCAAAACTCTCTTAGAGTCAATTGAGTTTCTGAGGTCACTACAAAGCACCTTTCAAACAGAGCTTTTGTGTACAGTTTTTTGAAGTTTGCAATAACCTGCTGGTCCATGGGCTGCAGGAGAGGAGTGGTATTAGGAGGCAAAAACTTGACCTTAATGAAGCTCATGTCCCCACAAAGTTGCTCTGCCAAGTCTGTAGGATGACCAGGGGCATTGTCTAACAACAGGAGGCACTAAAGGTCTAATTTCTTTTCAGTTAGGTAATTTTTCACATTGGGGGCAAATGCTTGGTGTAACCAGTCATAGAAAAAGTCCCTAGTGGCCCATGCCTTACTGTTTGCCCTCCACAGCACACACAAATTAGCCTTGAGGATATGCTTTTGCCTGAACACTCTGGGAGTTTCAGAATGATACACTAATAAAGGCTTCACTTTGCAATCACCGCTTGCATTGGCACATTTGAGAAGAGTAAGCCTGTCTTTCATAGGCTTATGTCCTGGGAGTGCCTTTTCCTCCTGAGTAATGTAGGTCCTGCTTAGCATTTTCTTCCAAAACAGGCCTGTTTCGTCACAATTAAACACTTGTTCAGGTTTCAGTCCTTCACTGTCTATGTACTCCTTGAATTCCTGCACATATTTTTCAGCCGCTTTGTGGTCCAAACTGGCAGCCTCACCATGCCTTATCACACTATGTATGCCACTACGCTTCTTAAATCTCTCAAACCAACCTTTGCTGGCCTTAAATTCACTCACATCATCACTAGTTGCAGGCATTTTTTTAATTAAATCCTGATGCAACTTCCTAGCCTTTTCACTTATGATCGCTTGAGTGATGCTATCTCCTGCTATCTGTTTTTCGTTTATCCACACCAATAAGAGTCTCTCAACATCTTCTATCACTTGCGATCTCTGTTTCGAAAACACAGTTGAACCTTTGGCAAGAACAGCTTCCTTGATTGCCGTTTTCTTGGACACAATAGTAGCGATGGTTGATTGGGGTTTACTGTACAACCTGGCCAGCTCGGAGACACATACTCCACTTTCATACTTAGCAATGATCTCTTTCTTCATCTCTATAGTAATTCTCACCCTTATTCCTGTAGGGTTGGCACTAGAAGATTTCTTGGGGCCCATGGTCACTTATTTTGCAGATAAAATCACCAAAAACGCTGTAATAATACGAAATGTTCCGATTGTATGCTTGGATGTTACCGCGGAGGCTGGCTGGTAAACAATGCCACCCGCGGAACATGTGAGGCTGGCTCAGGCCGCACATTAGATGCGTCTGGACGAATAGCGTTGAGAGAGTTTTTTAGTGGTATGCGAGGCAAAATCTTAGCGATAAAATGTATCGGTATGCGGATTTAACGTTATGTGATGCCAACGGTATGCGGGGGCCCACTGTACTATATGAAAATACACCTCAAAGTCGCCGTTTTAATCCAAAAACAGGGTCAGAGTTGCTTTTTCTCATTATGCACTGCGTGCTGCAGGATTTTTTATACAGTGCACACTGACCACACAGACCCATTCTCTCACATGTGAACCTACCAGTTTTCTCCTGCTTGATTTGAAGCCGCTAGAATTATTGAGTATACTATATATATACATCTGAAACACTGGCTCGTAAGACGTATATATACAGCCGAAACAGTCAGGGGGTTAATGATGGAGTTCCGTTCCTAAGACCATGTTAGTAAATGAATTTGTATAATAAGAAGAACATAAGAACGAAGGAACACTGCAGCAGGCCTACTGGCCCATGCGAGGCAGGTCCAAGTCTCCTACCGGCTTAAGCCAATGCACCCAACCCAGTCAGGTCAGGTCACATTGACTTAAGGGAGGAATACGGCAACCGACCTGGTAGCACAAGCTATCATGTCCAACTCACACCCACCCACATCCACATCCAACCTATTTTTAAAGCTACACAACGTTCTGGCCTCTATCACTGTACTTGGGAGTTTGTTCCACTCATCCACAACTCTATTACCAAACCAGTACTTTCCTATATCCTTCCTGAATCTGAATTTTTCCAACTTAAAACCATTGCTGCGAGTCCTGTCTAGGCTAGATATTTTCAGCACACTATTTACATCCCCTTTATTTATTCCTGTCTTCCATTTATACACCTCAATCATATCCCCCCTAATTCTACGTCTTTCTAGAGAGTGCAGATTCAGGGCCCTTAGTCTATCCTCATAGGGAAGGTTTCTGATACATGGGATCAACTTTGTCATCCTCCTTTGTACATTTTCCAGAGCATTTATATCCATTCTGTAATACGGTGACCAAAACTGTGCAGCATAATCTAAATGAGGCCTAACCAAGGATGTATAGAGTTGAAGAACAACCTGACGACTCCTATTATTTATGCTTCTTGATATGAAGCCAAGGATTCTATTAGCTTTATTGCGAACACTTATGCACTGTTGTCTTGGTTTCAGATTACTGCTAACCAGAACTCCTAAATCTTTTTCGCAATCTGTAATATTAATATCTACATTATTTAGTTTATATGTGGCATGGTTATTGTCCTGTCCAACATTTAGAACTTTGCATTTGTCTATACAGTGGACCCCCGCATACCGATTTTAATCCGTGCAAGAGGGGTCATTGTTATGCGAAATAATCGGTATGCGAATGAATTTTCCCCATAAGAAATAATGGAAATCAAATTAATCCGTGCAAGACACCCAAAAGTATGAAAAAAAAATTTTTACCACATGAAATATATATTTTCCCACACACAAAGAGAAGGATACATGCACAATAGTAGAGTAGTACATGCATAGTATATATTGTGCATGTACTAGTCTACTAAATGAAGAATAAATGACACCTTTATTGAAGATGCAGCAATGACTGATGAGACACTGTGTCCTGGGAGTGCCTTTTCCTCCTGAGTACTGTAGGTCCTGTTTGGCATTTTCTTCCAGAACAGGCCTTATCACACTGTGTATGCCACTACGATTCTTAAATCTCTCAAACCAACCTTTGCTGGCTTTAAATTCACCAATATGAGCACTAGTTCCAGGCATTTTTCCCTGTTCACCTGGGTGTTAGTCGACTTGTGTGGGTTGCATCCTGGGAGACAAGATTAAGGACCCCAATGGAAATAAGTTAGACAGTCTTCGATGACACTAA